CACTATCATGAGTATGCTATACAAGTAAAATTAAGATCTTAAACTCCGTATCTAGTCGAATAGCGTCATATTAATTGAAATGAAGGGAGTGCGTTTTAAAGGGAAAGGATTGAGAGAACATTTTTATGATATTGCCTTGGGGGATAACTAAACTAGGAAATGCTGTTTTTTGAATACTGTTTGATACTTGAACCAGTTCTTTGTTGTAAAAATTTCAAAATAGAAAATTTTCTGGAAACTGCAGCAAGCGCCCATGATCTCATTGTTATTTTACTTGGTCTGGCGAATTACTTGGGGGCAGTTCCCCTTTTGAGATTGAAGCCTTTGATTAACTTGTGTCCTAAAACAGAGTTTCAGATTATTGTTTCATTTTTACCACAAAGCAGAGAAATTACTCATCACTCAATGTCTGCCAGGTCAGCAATGTTATACATGAAAGTAGAGCATTGGATATCAATACACATGTCATTTTCCCCCTGGGTGAAACTGCAGCTGCAATTAGAGGAGAAAATGAACTTTGGCTTGCGATGGTTCTTCGAAATAAATTGTTGCTGGACCTAAAACCTGCACAGCTTGCTGCAGTCTGTGGAAGTCTAGTTTCTGAAGGAATTAGACTTCGGCCCTGGAAAAATAACAGGTAGAATTTTTGTTCTCAAGACGCAGAGTACTATCAGTCTGATTTCAATTCCGACATAGGTTGGTCTAGCTCTTGCATACACCTCCATGCGGGTTTTCCTCCACCATATAAATAAAGGACTTATCCTTTTGAAGAAAATGGTCACCACTGCTCTTTTTTGTCTTAGCATTGCTAAATTAGGATTTAGTTGTCTAGATATTGGGTTACAAGAAAGTTCAAGTTCATATTGGAGACCAACTCATCTCTCTCTCTCTCTCTCTCTCTCTCTCTCTCTCTCTCTCTCTCTCTCTCTCTCTCTCTCCCTCCCTCCTGCTCTTCCTCTTATATTGGGTGGAGGATCCCCAATAAGTTGCCATTGTCTCACCCCTTGAGAAGGCAGCAAGCAGGACAGTGTCACATTAGACTTGTACAAAAGAAGAGAGTGCAGAGGTTTGGAAAAGTTAGTTTCTAGACTAAGAACCTAAACCTACCTATTATCTTAATGGGGCCTGATCCAGCATAGGCTTACAATTTCCCTATATGAATTTGCACAGACTGCTGGTCGTAGTTGATCTGTCCATTTCCCTATTAAGGCTGTGGTTTCATTAGTGGCAAGTTTTCAGACGATATCTGATGCTTTTTTGAAGATTATGTCAAGTAGGAGTCTGATATCCAGCTGAAATCTAGTGGCAAATTTTCTTGGAGTAAAAAACTTTATTTTGATTTCCTTGGAGAACTATTGACATTCGCTGAGACCTGATTTGAAGTTTTATGCAATACTTACTAGTAAGGATTAACGACATACAGTACCCTTAGAGCTACTTTTCCAGAAGGAACGGTATTTCACTTTTACTGCACTCTAGTTTGAATTACACTGGCTTCTTTGTTGTGTTACTTGTGTCCTGGTGAATTTCAATAATTTTTGTTGGATAAGGAGGTGAATTTCCAGATTTTAGATGTCATATGTGTTTTACTTGTGCTTGACCTCGAGACTAGTCTATAGTTTGGAGATTAGTAGCTCTATTTGATAGCTGGATAGTTGTGTTGCGGTAGGTACTGACTATCTAATTGAACAAGATTTTTGGGTTTCTGAAATAAAGAGGTTCTTATATGTTATACCATTTATAAATTTGGGCACAATTCGTGTGAGACATCTGCTTGCGGTTTCATTCAATCCAGAATTTAGTGCGGAGTTCTTGCCAGAGCTTTATAGCCTGTTTGGCCAAGCTTCTTTTTGGCCAAAAGTGCTTTTGGCCAAAAATTGAGGTGTTTGGCCAAGCTTTTGGAAGGAAAAAAAGTGCTTTTGAGCAGAAGCAGAAACAGTTTTGGAGAAGCAGAAAAAAGTAGCTTCTCTCCAAAAGCACTTTTTTGAGAAGCACTTTTCAGAAAAATACACTTAGAAGCAGTTTTTTAAAGCTTGGCCAAACACTAATTGCTGCTCAGAAGTGCTTTTCAAACTAATTAGCCAAACACAAACTGCTTCTCACCAAAAGTACTTTTGAGAAAAGCACTTTTGAAAAAAAGCACTTCCCAAATAAGTTGATTTTTGCAGCTTGGCCAAACGGGCTATTATACTCCTTTGGTAAACTAGGTATTTAAAAAAGAATTGCAGAAATCAAAGCAAATGTTTAGTGAACTTCCAGTATCAGTTCATCATGGTTAAGTTGGCTTCTAGACAATCGCCAATGTTTTTTAAACCTCTGTGCTGAAAAGGAAAGATCTGATTTGAAATCTTATATCTGCAGTTTCGTTTATGAACCCTCTACCACTGTCTTGAATGTCATTGACTTATTGGAAGAAACAAAAAGCTCAATTCTAGAGCTTCAAGAAAAGCATGGAGTACAAGTGAGTTTTCAAGTTTGATTGGAGCCACTTCACAAGAGGTTCCAGGTTGGCTTTGCACTTCATAATTATGAAACAAACTTGCTAATTTCACAGATTCCTTGCTGCTTGGATAGCCAATTCTCTGGCATGGTTGAAGCCTGGGCTTCTGGTCTTACTTGGAAAGAGATTATGATGGACTGTGCAATGGATGAAGGAGATTTGGCTCGCCTTCTACGAAGAACGATTGATTTGTTAGCTCAGGTATGCATGTTGTTAAAGACTATCAGTCTCTTGCTCGCTCTGTTCAAGGAAATCCATATTGCACTAGTGATTGCATATTCTTAGGCGACCATTTGCAGTTAATCTTCATTCTGTATCTCTTGTCTCTTGTCTCTTGTTTGCAAAAAAAAGGCAAAAAATTGAAAACTAAGTATTACAAAGTTTAAGGGCATACATCTAGGCACCCAGCCCATATAATTAAAGAAAGACAGAAGCGGCCCTACACTTTAGCTAAATTCCTTATTTTCGGTGATTATACAACTCCTTATTTTCAGTTTTTCCTTTCATTTCTTCTTTGTAGTTTTCTTTCTGTTTCACTTTTCCTTTTCTGTATGATTGCAGATTCCTAAATTGCCTGATATAGATCCACTGCTGCAAAGCAATGCCAAGGGTGCATCTAACGTAATGGACCGCCCACCAATAAGTGAATTAGCAGGATGATATACAAACAAAAATTCATCATCTCCTTAAGGAGTCGAACTCAAAGGCAGGTAATCTATAGCCACTGTTCCTGTAAGAGCTATAGAACTTGATCAATTTATTTTCTGTCAACGAGGCTTCATATTAGTGAATTTCTCATTTATCACCTGCATGTTGATTGACGGTTCGTTCACGATCTTCATGGTTCACACAGTTCAAAGTACTAATGAACTCCCAAGTCTTAATAACTCTTTCACCCTTGCAAAGTAGACTCATCTTTGTCTTCCTTTCATGATACTGATTCTCTCTCATTGTCCTGAATTTGCTGGTCTAAAACCAGTCCCAGGACGGTTTTAAATTATTGAGCCAGGCTCAGCCTTTGCTATAAGAGAGATTGCTCAGAGCAGCAGAGTAGCAAGAATCTAGCGAACAAGTAAAAGGTGCAGCTTTGGATAATGGGCGAGGTGTTAAAAAACGACAAAATCAGTATCTTCATACGAGATGTATTATACTGGAGTATGCTGTATACATCTCTAGAAAGGACTAAACCAAACACACTACATCAGGTTGGTCTATCTGTGGAAACGGCACTTGGTAGAATGACCGTGCAGCGGAAAGTATAGATTCAATTTAAGTGAGCATGATTTCCTAGAGTTGATTGTTCACCAATTAGCTTGGAGGATTGTCCTCTACTTTTTCTTTGGAGTAGCAACATAGAAATAGACCAGAATGGTATATAACTCGCTTTTAGAAAGTGCGACTGTATATTCCATCACAAAAATAAATTTCTTATTTGTAGATCAACCAGGATTTCGTTATCAAAAAAGATCAACCAGGATTTCAGTAAAAATGTATATCACTCCATTTCGGAAATGGTCCTGTTGCCCAAACCTCTTTTGTTTTGATATACATAAGCTTCAGCCATTTTGTTCATGTTGTGACATATTTCAGCCTTGTAATCCCCTTCCCCTACCTCCTATATAGATTACGAAGTTTTTTATATTGTTATTCGAAAATACATAGAGAACTTAAGTTTCACCACCCATCATATAAAGAATTCAAGTACTTCGTCCATTAAAACAATCCATCTGCATGTTAAAGGGTATACCTAAGATATAAATAAATATCAAATTTGTGCCATCTTTTAAGTTTTTAGACGAGTAAGTTCACACAATTCTGTTACATCTTAATAGCTGCCAAATTTTCAAGTGTGTTCTCCAGAGAAACTCAGTTAAAAAATAAAAAATGGAGCCCAATTACTTGTGTCTTACACTTTAAGAATTTAGCGCCAGAAATATCCCTTTGTTGGCCATCTTAAATTTGCCCGAAACTGTTCTACAAACAGGTATGGCATATCACTATTTTATTTTAAAGGATGCCAGCAGCTCATTTTTTATTAATTACCAAGACTCATGATTCACCTTTTGTATTTCTCTTTAGAGATGCCACGAAAAACGATTTTATTTCTACCGAGCCAAAACAATCTGGTAATGTTTCTACTAACCAAAATTATTGTTTATTAGCTACTTTACTTGAATTTCTAGCAGCATACTATGTGATACTCACACAGCTTGAATATGCTTTTATGATTTTGCGACCAAATACTCGGCCAGTTTTATGGAAAATTATGCCAAACTTAGACAGCAAATTTCAATAACATATTAGCTTAATTTAAGATAATAAAAAATAGCACAAAAAATAGCTCCATTATTGCAGTCTCGCAGTATGCTCTATCCTTAACCGTTATTCAACAAAAAGAAAAAGGCCCGACAGTTGCATCGAGACGGGAAAGGTGAGTTGGTCATAAGAATTTCGGACTCGGGAAATTAGCCAGAAGAAAATAATTACAAGTGGAATCTGCTACACAGTAACAAGGAAAATTTCATGAAATTGACAATTTAGTGTTTTACAACAGAGAAGGCAAGGATATTTACATCAATTTGGGCACAAAATTTAGAGATGACACCCTACAAATTTTCCAAGCTGTTAGCCGGATCATTTATTCAATAGGAAAAGGTACATAAATCTATGGTAGCGGGGGCCAAAATTTGAATTTCCACAAATACGATTAGTCGGCTAAGAAACAAATATCAGAAGCATAAAGTCAGAAACCTTCGAGAGCAAGTAAATCGTGTGAAATTCTACCTTTTGGACTCCATTACTCCATTTCGTGTCATAGAACTATAACTATGACTAATTGAATTTGTAGATTACCTTCATGCAAAATGCACATCTTTCAACTGAAGAGTAATCTGCGGAAACGTTGTACTTTACTAGAACCATTCAAAGACTTCGAGTGGCCATTTGATGAAAATCTGTCCTTCAATGTTCTCCGCCTTTTTCTTGACCGGATCAAGAAATCTTCAGTGTCTAAAACGTAAGAGACCTAGGGCATCCGGAACCACAAAACAGTTAGCAAGAGAGACAAGGCTCTTCGATTTGTGTCTATTACTAAGGACAGCTATTGTACCTTTGATGAACTGCATGCTATCTTACATTCTAGACCATTAATAATTTGAACTCCTTCCATAGCTTCACCTGGAAAAGTCTCATCTCCAAATCCATACTTACGCTTGTTTCTGCAAGATACGAGCAGGCATTAACCTATGATATAAAATATTCAAGAAAGCACTCTGTGTTGATATAATACCTTGTCAAGAACACCCCAGGGTTCTCCTTCTTCAGAGTAATAACAGAGAGGAGTTCATTGCTCAAATAAGCTGCAAAATTTGGGTCCATTGACACCGCAGACATCTCAGGCTTATCATGAACATAGTCCATGAGTTGTATGGATAGACGTGTTGGTGTAGATGACTGCAGTGGAGGTCATTTATCAATGCTAGTTTAAATGGAAAAGGGAATGGTAGGTTCTATATTGGTCACATAACATAAAAGGAAGCAAAGATGTCGCAAAGTCTTACACATGCTATCCTGTATATGCTCTCTTCATGAAGAAGAACACGCACATTTTCATGGTAAACTACATCCCAAAATGTGCTAGATTTTCTTGAGGTTTCATAAGCATACAGTTGGAGAAGTTTACTTTCCAACTCATCAGTTGCAATTGTCTGTAGCTGCACGAGATGCAGAACAAAATTTTAAGAATAGTACAAGACAGCTGCATACACCAAACAAGGAGAAAATGAAAAAACACAAGCATTTACCTGTTTGACAATTTTGTATATCAGTTTGTCTAAGGTGAAGAGAAGATATGACTGAGCTCCAATAATAGCTCGGCAGTCATCCTCAAACTTTGCATTGTCAGAGGAACCATCCAGCAGGTTATAAAGTGCACTCATGAATCTGAAACATCAAAGAGGAGCTTAGTCTAATTAAGTACAGATTAATCAAAATGAATGGAACAGGAAACAAATCACTCAAGTGACCTGGCATATGATTCAGTGGGGTTTATAGCATTTGAGACTCTCCATCTGTGTTCAGCTGACGAAGAATGCGATTTTGCTTTCTGTAGTCTTTCATACAATGTCTGTAGTTAAGAGAAGAAACATTAGTGTTGCATCATCTGAAGGATTTTTACTACATGATATTAAATAGCCTTACCTGGTGAAGTCTGAACAGCACATAAAATGAATCATTTCCATAAAATATACGTGATTCCTTCTCTCTGTCATGAAATATAGAAGGAACTTGCTTTGTGAGAGGCCTGGATGTATGTTGAAGACGTTCTGAAAATGGCATAACAGCACCATCTCCTTCAGCATCATGGACATCAGCAGTTCCTTCCACCTCTCCTTCACTCTCTGCCTTGTTATCATTCTCATCATTGTCCCCATCTTCACGCTCTTCTTCGTGAGAACCTTCTCCATTAGCAGACTCACTACCTGAAACATCACAATTTTCAGAAGCATTCTCACTATCCTCTGATGTCCCGTGAGCACTTGCTTCCCCTTCATCATCAGCATCATTCTCACATCCTCTCTCTCCACCACGAACTACTTCTCTATGTCCACTTTGGTACAGCTTACTACTTGAACTTCCCTTTAAACTATGTGATACATTTGGACCACCTTCATTTGATGGTGTAAAATTATCCTCAAAATCACCATTTGGAGTTAATTCGCCCTCTTCTCTCTCAAGTTTACATTTTCCTATGGATTCTTCAAGACATTTCTCAACCTTCACACCTTCTGCCTTTGGGTCCACCAACCCTCCATCCTAAAATCATGTGGCAAAAAAGGGAAAAGAATTTAGAGATGGGGGGCAACAACAGACATACTGCAAGCTTAAATAGTATCTGAATGTGGTTTTCTTTTAGTTGTGTCTGTGTGCTTTGGGGTTTTCTTGGAAAAGGGCTACTTGTGCACTCTCAATGTAATCTGATTACACCCTCACTGCGGACGGTTTCATATCCCAAAGAAGCAGAAAACCAGGTATCAGCTTCAAGTTTAGAGGCACTGCAAACAGTATCCAATTAAAAACAAGCCCAAAACCACTAATACGGGGAACCTCTGTATGCGCCCCCTGGGCCATGTTGTGGAGTTTGCAGTGGGTGGAATAAAGATGTCGCAAGATAACGATTTAAGTTCTTAAAAAGCTTTTGTTCCACTAAATAAAAGTAATTCATAAGAAATATACAGCCTTGTAGAGATACTGTCTAGTGAAGGTCCTAACTTCTCTTTTCAACAATATTTCTGCATTCTCAATTCTGCAAAGCCTACATGTAGGCATATAAAGATTCACCATATATTCCACAGGCAAGGTCCACTAGATATCTCCACGCATTTAGTGTTTGGGCATTTTCACGGGTCAGTGTTGGGTGGGGTATCTAAACAGCTCAACTTGGATTGCTATTTTCTGACAGGTTATTTTGGGTAGCACAAATTAGCCCACCAGAAAAATTGCCAAACCCATAAAATTTTGGGCAGGTTACTTTTGGGGAATTTTCGCCACCCCTAGTCTGTGCCTGACAAGGGAGCAAGAGGCAGATAAACAGAGTTCACAGCAGGATCTCAAAAATTTCCTTCTTTTGGATTCACGTCAAGATTTTTTGCCAGTGGTTTATCTAAAGAGTAAAGACTACCTCTTATTTCCTAATTGTTCGGCTTTTTGGGACTAGAGCATGGGGAAGAGGTTGAAGAAAGAGCAACAAGTGGTAAGGGAACTTTGTGTTTTTTTTTTTTTGAGAAGGGGGGGGGGGGGGGTTAGGGTAACTTCAAAATCATGAATAGGTGAAGCAAATGCATAGAAATGTCAAGTCTCTATTTGGAGGTGAACTTTAAAACAGTCAAGGGATCTAAAAGTCTTAAAACACAGTACCTTTGAGTCATTAGAAGATTTTATCTCAAGTTCACATTTGATTGAGGAACTACTAGGTCTGGAAGTACCTGCACCATGCCCTGTCAATGGAAAGGGTACATCAAATTTTCAATTACTAATCCTATGAAGAAGTGTGAAAAATACAAAATGGAAGAGCAATCCGAAGTAGGCAGCCCATGAACCTGAAGCAGTTTCTCTACAGACTCTTCCATGGCTTTCCTCCACAACCGTGCTGTTTGAAAGCACTAGCTGGTCAGCACCAAAAGCCTCTCTGCTGAGACCAGATGCTGCATCTGCCATGTTGGGATCAGCGGCTGCCTTTCCATGCTGAAGGAGGGTCCTTGAAGTGACAATTTTCAGTGTCACACCAGTTGCATCAGGAGATTTATCATCCTTAAACCCATTTTCACCATTTGCAATCCGAACTCTGGAAGAAATTGAATGCTGAGGTGGAGGCTCTTCATCTCCATTCCTGGAACTGCTTTGTCTGCAATTCATGCCTGAGTCACTAGCAGGGCTACCAGCCCTTTCCCCATCAATTGCTGTGTTACCTTTAGCATTTTGATTTTTAGCCTTTTCAACATCTCCACCATCCACTGCACCCTGAGGTTGACGAGGAACACCAAATATTGGTTCCAGGAAGGTGGTCCAAATCTTCATGACTTTATCCAACTGTTCTCTTGTACAAACTTCACTACATGAATACTTAATGATTTGATAAAGATCTTCATGGATGTCAGAATCAGGATACTCGAACTCCAGGTGAGGGATAATTGGTTGCCCATTTCCAGCAGCAACAGAGAGAAGCACATCATCTTCTTTGCACTTATTTTCACTGATTTCTTTGATCTCAGCCAGCAGTGCTGTGGGGACGAAAACATCAGTTCCTTGATAAACAACTACTTGTAGCAAGAAAAAACTAATTCTTCGAGGTAGAGAGAATTTTATAGAAAAAGTTACAAAGCTCTCCTTCAAATATCCCATAAATAAAGGTAGGTCGGAATTGGTGAAAATTGGAAAGACTTTGAACAATATTTCATATGATGCGCTATGATCTCTGTTGATGATTTGCTTCAGTTACTATTGCATTTTTTTAGCATAATAAGTTAGCTTAATTTTAGGATAAATCTACTTTTTTGAATTCATATTTTAGTTAGATTTTTTAGGTTTGTTGAGATATTTTAGTTTTTTTGAATTCTTGTTATGCAGATTTTTCTGCAGATTATGTTCTTAATTGGCTATTTAAAGCCTTGTTATGCTTAATAAAATTATTGAGAGACTTTTTCAATCAATACTTTAAATCCTTTTGCTGCCCCATCTTTTAAAAAACCAACAGTGGTATGAAGAGCTTCATTGATCTTACGGGATCTGTGAGTTCTTCCAAAAAAACCATTTTCAAATCATTTTTAACCAATATCAATTTTTAAACCTATTTTCAAACATGGCAAGCAGCAGTCTCTCTTTGAATGCCCCACAAACTTTCACCGGTGAAAACTATCAGATTTGGTCAGTGAAAATGAAATCATATCTTGAAGCCTATGATTTATGGGAAGTTGTAATGGAAGATAGACCATTACAACCACTCCCTGAAAATCCTACCCTTGCCCAAATTAAAAACCATTCAGAAGCGAAAACCAAAAAACACAAAGACAAAACTGTGATTCAAAATTCAGTTGCAGATTCAATTTTTTCTAAAATCATTGAATGTGAGACAGCAAAAGAAGCTTGGGAAAAGCTTAAAAAGGAGTACCAAGGAAGTGATCGAGTTAGACAAATGCAGATTTTAAATTTGAAAAGGGATTTTGAATCTCTTAGGATGCAAGAAGACGAGACTATCACTAGGTATTCTGATTGGATTTCTTCTATTGTTAATAGAATCAGGTTGCTTGGCGAGGATTTTAAAGATAACAGAATAGTTGAAAAAATTCTTGTGACGGTTCCAGAGAGATTTGAATCCAAAATTTCCTCTCTAGAAGAGTCTAAAGATCTCTCTACCATCTCTGTTGCAGAATTAATAAGTGCTCTTCAAGCACAAGAACAAAGAAGAGCATTTAGACAAGAAATGGTTACTGAAGGTGCTTTTTATGCACAAAACAAAAAAGAAAAGGTCAATTATCCTCTTTGCAAATACTGCAAAAAGAAAACACACCTAGAAAAATTTTGTTGGTGGAGACATGATGCAATATGTGGTATTTGCAAACAAACAGGCCATGTTACAAAAGTGTGTAAGTTCAAAGACGCTCAACACAATCCTCAAGCATAAACAACAAAAGCAGTAATTGAGGAGGAGCAATTGTTTTAGAGCAACTGAAGCAAAGGAGGAGTGTTGATGATTTGCTTCAGTTACTATTGCATTTTTTTAGCATAATAAGTTAGCTTAATTTTAGGATAAATCTACTTTTTTGAATTCAAATTTCAGTTAGATTTTTTAGGTTTGTTGAGATATTTTAGTTTTTTTGAATTCTTGTTATGCAGATTTTTCTGCAGATTATGTTCTTAATTGGCTATTTAAAGCCTTGTTATGCTTAATAAAATTATTGAGAGACTTTTTCAATCAATACTTTAAATCCTTTTGCTGCCCCATCTTTTAAAAAACCAACAATCTCTCAAAAGATCTTTCTCTACATTACAATTCAAGGTGTGCTTCTAGTGCTGGGACAAAACAGATGATTGAAAATTCTATAATCAACTCAAGAAAGTAGTACTATTGTGGATGTACAACAAACTTCCTCCTCCGTCTGCAATTAAATAAAGGCACTCGTTGAATAAAACCTATTGCTGAATTATGTGAAAGCATTGTCATGACCATCCACAAGCAAATGAATTTACATCTATCAAAAATGACTACCAAGGGTAATCCATTGAGATGGCACAACAACATATAGATGGTCAAATCTCTTACACCTCCTTTTGGCGTTTATTACCGTTGTGACGGAACCTTTCCAAGTAAAGAACATTAGGCCACTTGCACGAATTGCTGTGAGCTTAGACAGCTGCATGCTACTTCATTTACATACAACAGCTAGCTTAGGCACACCAATTTTGCCAAATCAAGTTCAAAAGAGCAGATACGGTTTGTTTCTAATCTTTCGAGGAAGGGGAGAGGGATTTTTAATTGTATGTTGAGATTGTTACTTCTAGTTTAAAATTTCCTAGTAGCTTCCAGTCTCAGACTAGATCCTTCACGTCGATACTCTTGTCACCTATATAGAGGGTAATTCAAGACAAGAATACCTTTTTTTGATAAGATAAGTATATAATTCAAGACAAGAATACCTTTTTTTTGATAAGATAAGTAAATAATTCAAGATAAGAATACCTATAAGTAGTAATAGTCCTTATATCATCTGGAATAGTGTCAAAAAAGGCTTGTGATCAATGCATGTTGTCCTATTTTATACGGTAAACATAAACTTCAACATTATTATATTATAAGCTAAACAGTAGGCTCAAATATGTTTACTTTTGGTCGGGCAGGCATTGATGGAACAAATTCTCCAGCAGGGCAAGCATTAGATTATTCTCAAAGCTTGATAAGACTTCGGAGAGCAAGTAACAACTACAGTTAGGTGAAAGCAAAAATGGAATTTCTGCTTCATCAATTTTTCTGCTTGTTGGGTCTTCTAGTTGTTAGAAAGTAGAACTCGGAACTGCCACACTGATTCTGACCTCTTGACAAATATTGTGAGAGCCATAAATCTTGAGCTCCTTTCTAAAAACTCATTTCAACTTCTAAGAACATTGTTCTGGTTCTACAAGAGCCAATTTTTAAATTGTAAGCTCTTGCTTGAGACAGCCCAGGCTACAAGGACAAAACACTGTTTCTTTCTAGAAGAGAATTCTAGAATTCATAAATTATAAAATAACTTCCGAAATACAATATGGTGAAAGTATAAAGTTATTAGAATGAACTAGTTCTAAATCAGAAAATGTCATCTTACATTACCTTTTGTGCTCAAGCTTTTCGTGTCCTGCTGCTTGAAATAAAAGCTACGATGATCCAGTGATTTGTGATAGTTCTTGGCATAAATTTCAGCCCAAACTTTATTAAAATCAGAACGACACCTTGCCCACTCCTCTTGTTTCTGCTTCAAGCGAGTGAGTATAACTGGAAGTGCAAGTGGTGCATTCTTCCTTAACACATCCATAACATCAAGCCCGTGGTCACCGTAGAGACGTTCAATGCACCTTAGATTCAGAGCTATACCAAAAAAAAAAAAGCATAAGAATTTATGATTACAACAATCCAATAGCAATATCAGCATCAGTTATCAGCCTCTTACCAGTAAAATGTTCTTCAATACGGATATGACTATCACTGGCAATAGTATTATCATTGATCTTGTTGAGCAATTCTTCAACACGTCTTGTTGTTGCATTGACAGACTCTAAAAGCATATCCAGCTCAAACCTATTATTATGGAAGCATCAAATTGCAAAGGAGTATTAAAGAAAACTTTACAACAACTGGTCAGAGGATATGAGATCACTTCACATTCTAGATAAAATGAAAGTTAAGACTTTAAGACCACATGCATCAAGACAACTTCCAACCTGTCATCTTCACATCGGAACAAGCTTTCTTCATACTGGTTTTTGCGCATATGTTTAAAAGAGTAATCCTCACTTCCTGATGTCACCGATACCCAGAGATCATTTAGTACATCAGCACCAATCTCGGTTCGCTGACTCGCTAATGGAATTGGATACTGTAGCAAGAAAAGTGTTGCACCATCAGTGCAAAAGATTTATAAGACATCAATACATGTATCTTAGGAAGCAAATAGAGCTACTTTAAACAATAGATCTGTACATTCTTTGGAAGAAGCCGATAACTCGGTGAGCAACTTTCACAGTTGGAGAGATCAAGTTCATGTATAGGTTTTGCTGCGTATTTATCCTTGCTTGGGTACAAAGACATCTTCTGCCCTTGTATATCTTTACTTCCATAGGCGACGCCTCTGTCAGGTCTATCTCTTTCTCTTGTTTCGCGGACTCTATTCCTGTCTTCCCACTCACAATCTCGGTCTTTGTCCCTGTCTTCTACTTTATCCGACTTGGGAATGTGTTCATCGTTCCATGAGGATCCTGAAATGGACTGAGATAAGTCAGAGATCTAGTGGACATACAGGTGCCGCAATCCCATTATAGTCATTGTCATATCGCTAGAAAAGAAATAAGACTACATCTTCAAGAATACAGCTAACATCATTCTTACGTGTTTTGCTCAGAATAGCAGCAAGGTAACCATCTGCAGAAAAACTCCAAATAGAATAAAATCTTTATTAAGATCTGGAAAATGAAACTCAAATAGCAGTAGCAAAGCGATGCAAGTGTAACAGAAAAGTAAGCAGGAATCATTAGCTTATTACCTGTCCTGTCACAGTGAGAAATAAATTCATCAAATCCGTCCATGAGATCTGGATGTTTCATGAGTAAGCTGCTAACCTAAGGCAAACAAATTTTTACTCCAAATTACTGATTTCATTGATACTATAGAAGCATTATAAATAAGAAACTGAATCATGTAATTGACAACTAACATTGAGACTACGCTTGCAAGCATAAAGTCAAGCCAGACACAGAATGACATGCTGGTGGAACCACATTCTCATTAAGAAAAGATTCATCAGTGTGTTTATAAGCGACATATTAATTATACTTCCGTGAACTTTCATCATTTTTCTTTTTGGAAAAAGGGGTGGGGTGGGGTGGGGTGGTGTATTTATGCAACTGATAATCAATGCTGTTACTGTCTATGACGTCAGATGTATGTGAAGATATATGAACATTGGGATGCATACACAAGATTTCTCACTACAGACTAAGCTGTATACTACTTCCCTAAAACAAAAGAAGGAATATAGCAGATATGTAGGTCATTGCCTTATTGGTTTCATATTTCTATTATAAAATGTTATCAATTAGTTCAAGGGTATTGATAACCTTCACCAGGACAAGTAAATTCAAAAATTTAACCAAGCTCAATGAAAAGAAATTTCAAAGCATGAAGAAGGATACCAGGGATTGTAATTGTGGTCTTGTAACTATTTCCTTGCTATAGATATGAAGGCACTTAAAAAACTGATTTCGATCTCCGATATCCTGTAATCTTTCCTTAACCCGCTCACAGTAAGCAAAACCATGGTCCTGCACACCTGCTCCAACATAAGTAGATTACTAGCCATTCAACTAAAAAATCTGATGAAACTAATAAAATGAAACTTATACTATATTTACAGGAAAGGAAACATACAGGCAGCAAAATTCAGATGGCCAAATTGTTATTTACCATACAACAAGGTGCAAGTCTCAATCATAATTTTCTTAATATCAATACTTACCTTGCAAATTTATTGATATTAAGAAAATTTGGCCATCTGAATAATTTTTATATTAGTTAATTACTTTTCAAGGTTGGAACAAGCAAATTACATCAATCGGCAAACTTACTGTGTTCAAACTGGTCAACAGCAGAATCTCTATGAACAGATTTTCTGTCCAGCTCTCTATCCTCATATTGTGGATCCCTTCTATCCCTTTCAGTTTTCATCGTTGTTTCTTCATATTCTGGATCAGGCCGGTCGACATGTGAAGTAGCCTTCTAAACCAGCCAAAAGATAAAAATACCCTGATTTATCAGCCAAAATTCAACGACATCGGACTCTAGAAAATCACCATCAAGAAACTACCTTCTCGACGTGCATGTGCCTTGCCGTGGTCATCGAAGAGCTTTTCGCATCATAACGCAGGATAGGGGCCCTATGAGCTTGAGCCTGACGAGCTCGGGCTGCGGCCATGGCATCAGGTAAAAAATGGGTGAACTCTTCAAGCAAATCAGGATGGCCACGGAAAAGGTAGGAGACCTGCAAGAACATAAAATAGCCTCAAAATGCGTAAGATCTCAGTAGTGACATTTGAAAGAGATAAAATCCCGTTATGAGATTAGAAAACATTCATGCTTTCCGTTTTTACTCAAACGCAAAGAGGCTGCCAAGCAAAGGCGAGTAACATACCTCATTATAAACTTCTGCAATGGACTTGTTTTCCTTTCTATACATATTTAAAATATCAAGAAATGATTTATATACGAAATCATCACCTTGAAATCTAGTCTGCAAAGCAGAATGTTAATCAAATGAGAAGAGCAATTTTAATTTAAAAAGCAGCATTCATTAGTAGCGTGATGCTTCACCTTTATTTTGTTTACAAAACTGATTGCTTCTTCAAATTCAACTGGCTTTTTCACTGGGGGTTCGTCCTCAGGATTGGTGATCTCATATCCCTTGGGCAAAAATGTATTGAACCCCATAATTAGGCTTCGATGCCCTTTGAATAATTTCTTCACCCTCGCTATGACACCAGAAGTGTCAATTCTGCAAACAAACAGTCCCAAGGAAAAGGATAAAAAAAACTAATCAAGCACCAAATATGTTGCTAAATCAATGGCATTTAACCTGTCAAGATTCTACCTTTGAGCCTTGAAATCTTTCATGACTTCAAGAAACTCATCATATTTGTCCCTTCTGTCCTGAAAGATTTCCTTCACTGCCTTTAGATAGGAAAGGGCGTCGTTTGTTGTTAGCTTATTCGCACTGCTTCCACCCATCATTGGGGATTGCCCTGAACTGCAGTGTCAAATGTAATAAGACATGAAATAAAAAGCACACATCTTTCTACAGGGAAACCAACATCTATCATGAGCCCACATTAAGTCACAGTATCAATACTGAATGTCAATATTAGAAAGGAAAAAAAAAGGAGAAAAAAACATTTGGTGCTAATATTATAAAAAGGAAAAACAAAATTTGGAGACTTACTGTGATGCAACTAAACTAATACTACTACTCTCTGTTCAACTCAAATAGAGGATAAAATTTAGTAAAAACCAAAAAAGCTTATCCCTTTAGAAGAACAAACTACTGCCCCTACCAATTTGTATAAAGCTTCGGCATCGTAAGTTGAATCACCAAATTATACGTTAAAATCTTAGAAATATTACCTGATAATCTCACAATTAGCACGAATTACATAGTAATTTTGCAGTATAATAAAAGTTCAAAAGAATGATAATTTGTTTATAAGACTTACGGTTCAGCAGGAGAAGAGACAACAACGGGGCGTTTGAGTTGAGAACTCATGTACACGTCATCATCTCTAAGTCATATCTCTTCACCATTTTGTAAATTTAATCCTCCAATTAACAAATAATACAAAAATCCTGAACAAACAAATCACATAATACTCACTTCATTAATCATACATAATTACAGATCTAACAAACCACAATTATCAGCTAACAATCCTTAACTCTTACCACAGATCACCTCCAAATTCTCATCAAAATCCTACAATAAACAAAATAATTAAAACGATAATACAAAAATTCTTATTTTACTAAATTACATTACTTAAAAATTAAGAAAAGCATAAACAATGACGTAAGTAAAAGGTTGAGAATTTTTACAGAGAATAAAGAGATCTTCAAACGAGTCCGTTAATGGCGGTTGCTTTTAATATTGTGAAAAATTCTTCCAAAGGAAGAAGAAACAAACAGTTCCTTTTAAGAAAACTGTGTTTTTTTTGTGTGTGTATTTTTTGTGTGTGTAGAGTGAGATGAATATGCAATTCAATTCCTTATTCAAACGTATATATGAAAAGAAGAGAAGAAGAAGCTAAAATGGAAAATAAAGCTATGGCTATGGGCTATGGCTGTGATTTATTTTTTTTATTTTTTATTTTTGTTAGTTAATTGAAGATTATAATATGGAGAAAATTATCTGCTTTCTGATTCACAATATGTGAGAGGAGCAATGAGAAAAAAGAGAGAGTTTATATATTAGTGTTGTTATTTGTTATATCGTCTTAGCTGGTATTTTTTTGGTGATATTATATGGAGATGGATATAATAAAAATTTCAATACAGAGAGCAAGAGGGAGAGGAAAAGAAAAGAAAAGCCGCAGGGGGGGGGTGGGGGGGGTGGGGGAGAGTCATTTTGACCTCTCTTTTTTATGGTTTCAAATGGACTACAAATTGAGACCTAAATTGCTAATTTTAGGTGATTAGGAGTTGAATTATTATTATGAGAAATGGTGGAATACGATAAGAGTGATAACAGTGGTATTTTTTTCTTTTGGTCAAAGAAAATTAAAAAATAAAATTAGGAACATACTGTCACACACTAATTAGTATGTTAAACTCGAATATATTTATGTATTTTTTTTTTCCTAATTGATGTGGAACACTATATAATTCAATACCATCTAAAAACTATGATCCGATTTAGAGTTTGCGCATTGGCTTTATTATTAAAATCAATGACAATTTGACGAAAATGAAATCAGAATACCAAATGAGTGATGTGTAACGTTACATATTTAATCTTTTATAAGAATAAATTGAGAAATCAATATTTGATTTTTTCCTGAATTTAAATGGTTTCAGCTTCTTGTTTCAACACCATATTCTATTCAATCCCTTATATACTTGTGTCAATGTGTGTGAATATATGTGTGCTATAAATATACTATAATGAAGAAAATAGAGGAAGTCGAGCGATTTTATTTTGTGTCTCACACAACTTACACTAGTTGTGTGAGGCCTCTTTTTATCTCACATATTTGTGGACCCATCTCTTACACATCTGGGTTCACAAAATTCTGGGACCACACAGTTATGAGACAAAAAAAAGGTCTCACACAACTATTGTCAGTTGTGTGAGACACAAAATAAAAATTTTCGAGGAAGTCACACTGCATTGTTATTTGCTTTCTTTTTTTTGGGGGGAGGGGGAGGGGGGCTGTTCTATCGATGGACCCACGTGTAGGTAATTAGGACTTGAATGCATTATTAGGAGGAAACTGAGGTTTAAGTGTAGATAATTACTAAGTAGTATTTGGTTAGTTAAGTAGGTTATGTCAAAATAAGCAAATATAGCATGCTAATTGCTAAGGGCAAAATTGTCTAGAAAAAAACGTTATTACCTGAGTTACTAAAGCTTGTGCACGCTGCGGGTTTGCTAATTGGGTTTATTTGGTAGCGTAATTAGTAAATTTAGGGTTAGGGTTAAGACTTTTTGGATTACCTGATTGGGAAAACAGGAAAAGTGGATGGATTTCATTTTCAGCTCTTTTTATTTTTTCCTTTTTGTTTTCCGGTGACCTCTGAGTTGGAATCCCTTATATTTGGCTATTGCCTATTGGTAAAAGAGCTAACGAAATAATTTTATTTTGTGTCTCACACAACTTACACTAGTTGTGTAAGGCCTCTTTTTATTTTACATATGGGTCCACAAAATTCTGGGACCCATACAGTTGTGAGACAAAAAAAAGGCCTCACACAACTAGTGTCACTTGTGTGAGGCACAAAATAAAATTTTTCTTAAAAGGAGAAGAAACCTTGACTTGGGCTTTTTTCCATTTTTGTTATTTTGGGTTTTATGTTTTTTCAAGAAAAGAGGATATCAGAGTACAAAACTCGTCTTATAATTTGATTAATTGCTTAATAATTTTATGTATATATGCTATTTTTGTTTGCACCAGAGGCGTCCAAAGATAGAAGCAAAATTTTTAAGTAGAATATTCGATAAAGGTTCAGTCCCGAGTCATTATAACTAGGGGTGTTCATGGTTCGGTTTGGATCGGTTTTATCCTTAAAAGAAACCAAACCAAGTAAGTCAATTTTTTAAACATTAGAACCAAATCAAACCAATTAAATTGATTTTTTTCTTGATTCGGTTTATGTCGGGTTTTGTCGGTTTTTCGGTCTTTTCGGTTATTTGTCGGTTTTTTCTTAAATATAAGACATACACTACCAAACACATATTCCGGCTACCACATTTTCAACGTAACACTATCAAATCAATTGCCTTTTGAGAAATCTATTATTTACCAAAATATATTGATGATAATTGAATCAAATAGTGATGAATAATTTAAGGACTCAATTAAAAATATATTAATTTTAACACGAAATGGATTCTTACACTTAACAAAAGAAAACTACCAATCAAACTAGAATGTAAAGGTAAAGGACTGTACAAAAAAAGTGCAAACTATTAACATTTACCATTAAATTTTTGAAATTTTGTATAAAAATAACATATATATATATAGGTGTAATAATAAATTTGAAATAGCTACTCCTATAGTCGGTTTGGTTCGGGTTTTTTTTTCCGGTTTTTTCTGATTAAAACCAAAACCAAACCAAATTGATCGGTTTTTAAAATTCAAAACCAAAACCAAACCAAACAAAAAATCATCGGTTTTTTTGATCGGTTTGGTTCGATTTTTCGGATTTTTATGAACACCCCGAATTATAACAATCTCTTTTTCTTTTAATTTATTTTTAAAATTGTGGTAATGCAATAGAAGAGGACGAAAATCGTGTTATTTCTTACAATGAAAAGAAATTTAATTTTATATTATAATTTATGAAAACTAAAGTGTGGATCATTAATGTGAGAAGACAATAAATCAGACTCAAATGGTTATTTAAGCCACTATAGTACAAATAAGAAGAGTTGGCTATTTGGCCAAGCTTTTGAAAACTGCTTTTAAGTGTATTTTATCAAAAGTGCTTCTCAGAAAAGTGTTTTTGGAGAGAAGCTACTTTTTTCTGCCTCTCAAAAACTGCTTCTAATTCTCCTCACAAATACTTTTTTTCCTTCCAAAACCTTGGCCAAACACCTCAATTTTTGGCTAAAAGTGCTTTTGGCCAAAAAAAGCACTTTTGGTCCAAAAAAAAGCTTGGTCAAACAGACTATTAAAACTGTTGAATAGTATCAGTCGAATCCTGTTGTAACATAAAAAGGGCAGCCCGGTGCATTAAGCTTCCGATATGCGCGGGGTCCGGAGAAGGGCCGAACTATAACTATAAGGGTCTATCGTACACAATATTATTTCCTGGTGTAACATAGCAACCAAAAAACTCAACATCCAACTTCGGGTTGCCACGTGTTAAATCAAGCAATTATTTCGGATCCTTGTTTAAATGGTTGGGGAATGGGCTATTTAAAGTTGGATCGCAAAGGCCTGTCCACTGGATTTATCTCAAAGGCCTGTCCACTGGATTTCCAAAGCAATTGCTTGTGCGGAAAATATTCCAAATGAAGAAAATAGTGATCCTATGTGTCACGTATATTTTAGGAAGAAATTCAAAAATAGCCAAATTTACCATTGGTCGTTGAAAAATAGCCAAGTTTCAAAAGTTATCGAAATTTAGCCACTTTAAAGCTGAGCGAAAACACTGTTCAAAATCCGGAAAAATACGCCCGCAAATTTTACGGGAGTTCCAGCATAAGTATGCTTGAACTCCCGTAAATTTTACGGGAGTTCCAGGATAACTATGCTGGAACTCCCGCAAATTTTACGGGAGTTCAAGCATAATTTATGCTGGAACTCCGCAAATTTTACGGGAGTTTCCAGCAAGTATAATTGTCCAGTATAATATACTGGAGTTTGGAGCATGGTGCTCCCAGTCTCCCGCAAATTTTACAGGAGTTAGCAAAGATATACCGGTACAGCATAATATGCTGGAGTTCGTACACAAATGCACCAGAACTCCCGTATATTATACGGACCGCCTGTTTGTAGCAAAATAGTGGCTTTTTTCATTGACTTGGTAAACGCTGGCTATTTTTCATTGACCAGTGTGAAAACGGCTATATCATGATATTTTAACTATATTTTATGTAATTATTATTAATAAAATATTTTAAAAGTTTTAATAGTGATCCGCTTGAGAAATCAAAGCCAATTTTCGCGATCAACCCATAATGCTAGTCGGTGTTGCTTTGGGCTGCAAACTTCTTGACGTTAAAAGTAATTTTATTTAATTAAAAAAAAAAAGAAGAAAAAAAGAAAGAAAAGAATAAACTCTGACAACGGGAAGAATTTGAATCACTTGCAAGTTAACGATTACAGCTTTCGCAACTTGGACTTTCATAGTTTCTGTAACGAGAAAACTAATCCATTATAATTATTTTAAAAAAAACACTGCTAGTATTGGAAAAAGGGACTAAATTAGCAGAAAGCAAAGGGGGTGTGATTATGTGGAAGGAGCGATTTTTGACTTCTTTTTTTTTCGGAAATTGAGAGAGAGGAGGCTCAATTAGGGGTGGGCATATATCGCGTTAAAATCGAAGAAACCAACTGAACCGAAAAATATTTTATTTCGGTTCGGTTATCGGTTTTTTTCGGTCGGTTTCGGTTTAAATTTTAAATTTTTTTTTTCTGTTCGGTCGTCGGTTTTTGAATTTATTTGGTTCGGTTAACCGAAAAAACCGAATTTCTAGTAATGAATTCTTTAAACTATATATAAGCCCATACGTAATAAATTAATAATATTAGGCCCAATTTAAGTTCCATTCAAGAGCCAGCCCAAGTACGTAAGTCAATCAGCTTTTCCCAATCTTTAAGACTTTCACTCTAATCAAACTTCCATTTCACTCTAAGCCGCTAGGGTTCTTCAAACTTCTATGCGCCTCTCTTGTCTCTATCGCCATTGATACATTGTGCCGGTGATGCTCCAACCGTTTTCATTATCGTTCAAAATTTCTTGTTGTTGTCCAGGTAAGCTTTATTTTTTGTTATATATTTTCTCATTTCTTCTTTTGTTTCTCTGTCCTCGCCAATTTCTGTTGTTTCTCTCATTTTATTAAATTTTCTTTTTTTCTTGCTAAAATTTAGTACATAAGACTTAAAGAGTGCATTATATTGTTGAAAGAAGTCTTGACTCTTTATTTGATGTCCATTTTCTTCTCCTTGCTCGCTTATTGTTTCTGTTTCCTTATTTAATTTTGTGCTTGTTTCTGTCTCCTCCTCTAACTTTCTTTTTCGCATTATTAATTCTTAGTTTAAATATTCATGTCGGTATTTTAGT